GCCATCTTGGTTGGGTTAATTTTCATATAGTCGCTCTGATTGGCTGGTGGGCGTGGCTTAAGGTGTAGCAAAGGTATGGTCAATTTGCATGTTTGTCTTTTATTAGTGTAGATGAAATCAACAGCGATTTTCTGATAGAGCTCCTCACATAATCAATACTGGGAAGAACCTCAGACTGAACTCTCAGCTTCCCATACTACACTTGCTTGTTTATGCCATCAGAGTCAACCACTGCATGCATACCCTGGTTTTGCCTTCCTACCAATAGAGTGATACATGTCCTTCCCAATCAGAACCTCACAATTTGCATACCTCATTTACATAAAACAGACTTAATTGATAACCTGGGTAGAAACGTTTACTTTAAAAGTTTGCCTCCCCTTGCCCAGCTGGTGTTGCTCCATGGTTGAGCATTGACCTACAAACCAGGAGGTCACAATTCGATTCTAGCTAGGGCATATGTCTGGGTTTCAGACTCTATCCCTAGTCGGGGGAGTGCAGGAGGCAGCAGATCAATGATTCTCTCTTATCATTGATGTTTCTAAATTTCCCTCTCCCTTCCTCTCTGAAATCAATAAAAATATATGTTATAAACCAAAGAACTTCTATACTTATATGCATAACCCATGGACACGGGCAATAGGGTAGTTAAGACCTGGGGATGGGTGGGTAGGGGCTAGGAGGAAGGGGGTGGGGGAAAGGGGAGATATCTATAATACTATCAACAGTAAATATATTTTTAAAAGGTTGCTTCCCCTTTGTTTCCGTGGAACACAATTTAGGTAAAAACCTAAATTTAACCTGAATTTGTGCCTCCTGGGCTGCAGTTTCTTTTGTTCTAATAAACACATATTTATTGTTTACAGTCTAACATTAATTTTGGTTTACTGTAATGGTGGTCTCTGAAATATAAAAATATATGTTATAAACCAAAGAACTTCTATACTTATATGCATAACCCATGGACACGGGCAATAGGGTAGTTAAGACCTGGGGATGGGTGGGTAGGGGCTAGGAGGAAGGGGGTGGGGGAAAGGGGAGATATCTATAATACTATCAACAGTAAATATATTTTTAAAAGGTTGCTTCCCCTTTGTTTCCGTGGAACACAATTTAGGTAAAAACCTAAATTTAACCTGAATTTGTGCCTCCTGGGCTGCAGTTTCTTTTGTTCTAATAAACACATATTTATTGTTTACAGTCTAACATTAATTTTGGTTTACTGTAATGGTGGCATTGGTGGGATCCCAGGATGACTGCCCTCTGGTCCCTGGTGACACTGTGGACTTGTTCAAGGTACAGGCAAGAGGCCATGGTCTTCTTAAGCAGCCTCATATATCAATGGTAAGCCTTCCTGGATCCAATCCTTCTTTGGTCGAAGTTCTGGATTTTATTTGAGCATTGCTTCTCTATTTGCTGGCTTCCACTCATCTGAGTGAGAGATTCAAACATAAAGATTTATGTCTTCATTTTTTTTTCCCAACACATACAGTTTTTCACATCAAAGAAGGAAAACTTTATCTAGTTTTGGGCTTGGTTCATATGATGGTGGATTTCATCCATAAGGTTTGTATTCATCTCTGTCATAAGAGGGAAGACACTCACACTTCAGATCCATTCACCAGGTGAGTTCCAATGGGGAACCCTTGTTTACGTTGTAATTAGGTATGTCTTTGAACAAAAATTAATAGCATCTGAGGCATCTTCTTTGCCTCCCTATCTTTGTCTCCAGATATGTGCAGCCACCAGCTTCCTTTAGAAAAATCTGTTCTTTAAATTCAGGCCTTCTGCAGCCATTCTCTTTTCATTCTGACCTTTCCAACTTTAATGTGAACACTTACTTTCTACTTATTTTTGTTTATGTTTGTTGATAAGTTGACTTTAAGTGGCACCATTAAAGGAGGAGACCTCAGACTTCTCAGAAACAATAGAATATATTATTTGATTTTAACACAGCTTTAAAAGAATTCTTACATCATGCAAAAACTTTGGCTATCTAAGCAAAGCTTCAACTTAATCCATTACTAGAAAATATAATTTGGATCTAGTTTTTCTTCTGAGTTTTGTATTGTGCCAGGGACACACAATTTAGTGTTTTAAAATGACATTTATGTGATATCTGTCTGGATTTGTCTGTGTTTTTATGTATATGTATGTACATATGTTAAAGATATGAGATATTTCTACTGCTGGATTGTATTGCCAAAATTGATTAGTAATTTCAAAATTAGGTTATCAGGAGCCTTATTCGATTAACTTAAAAGTGTGCTCATATTAATTGGATAAATAACAGAAACTAACCCAAATACTCTTCAAGTACACACGATCTAGAATTTTTAGTAAGTAAAACTAGTTTAATGTTGTTGGTTTAATTAAAACAGCCATGTCTTTATTTATCAATGCTGAAAAATAATGCAGGCATGCAGCTTTCATTCTACCTGGTTTTATTAGACAAATAAGTTCACTTTTCTTTGTTACACAGTTTTCCAGGAAGAAAAATAATGTAAGATAATGGCTAAATACTTTAATTTCTCATTAAATCTTCAGGAGTAATCAAAATATAATTGTTAAAAACAAATGTTTTAACTAGAGATAAAAGGGATACATTTCTAAGCAAAATTTTCAGCAAGTAGTTTCAATAATCTTTTAATAACTGGAAACCTTTGAGTCCTGTCAAATTAAATTAAATTATGAGTCAAATTACATTAATTAAATACCTAAATCATCACCCAATAAGACGAAATACTAAAACATTTAATGTTAAATTCATCTAACTTAATCCTCTTTTGACTTGTTACAGATAAACTAAAAGATAAGTTTGAGCATGTTAATAAAAATGTTTTCTTGAGTAGGCATATTTTCTAAAAATTATGAACCTATGTTTTTAGAGGTTTTGAAATAGATTCATGAATTCGTCAGTCTAAAAATGCTGATTACTTACTTTTTAGTGTCTTTAAAAGTTGTTTTCTAAGGGTTAATAATTCTAATTAATATGGAAGGAAATGATGCGTGTTTTCAATGAAGAAAGAAGGAAGGCTTGGAAGTTTATTTTTGAGGGTTTGAGGGAATTAGAGGGAAATGGTCTGTCCTAAGATAGTTTGGTGGTTTCTGAGTAAGAAGAAACAAACTAAGAAGGTCAAGGAAAGTTGTAGAAGGTTTGTAGAAAAAGAATCTTGAGAAAGGAATTTTATGTGTGATCAAGATAAATAAAATTAAATGAATTTAAGTGGATTTGAATATCAAAAATGGTCTGTGATTCTGTCGTTCTGTTAAAAGGAAAAAAGTTACTCTTGTACTATTGGTATGTTCTTAATAAGAAACCATAAACTGAAAGTAAAGATTTTATGTTTTGCTTAAATTATTTCCTGCGATGTACCATAAGGTATAATATCTTGACAGTATGTAGTCTGCCAGGTCAGTGTGTAACTTTTCTTCTCTCACTCTTGGGGTAATTGTATTGAATAGTGTTAAGCATTTTAAAGATTACTTCCCTTGTGGGTGTCTTGTCTTCTACCTTATGCCAATATTTAAAATTAAAATGTGTTGGATAATAAATATCATATGATTTCACTTATATTTGGAATCTAAAGAACAAAATAAATGAATATACAAAATTGGAACAGATTCATAGATAAAGAGAAGAGACTAGAAGGTTGCTAAAAGACAGGGGGGTTAGGAACTGGGTGAGAAAGGTGAAAGGATTCACAAGCACACATTGATAGTTACAAAATAGGCATTGGGATGTAAAGTACGATATAGTGAATATAGTCAATAATACTGTAATAACGACATGGTGCCTGGTGAGTACTATAAATAACAGGGGGATCACTTTGTAAAGCATATGATTGTCTAACCACTATGTTTTACACTTGAAAGTAATATAAAAAAATATTGAATGTAAACTGTAATTGAAAAATAAACTTAAAAATTAAAAAAATGCATGCAATAATTCAGAAAAAAATTGAAACGTATTATAAGTGGTGTCAAAGGGAATGTCTAACATGTATGAAGAAATCTGTATCACTTTCTGAAATACAAATTAACGATGAATATAATCAGCATGTGCCAAGACTTGAGCAATATTAATGCGTCTTGAGACTCTATAGCTGACATATGAAAGGTTCTGAATTTTATTTATGTGAGTCATTTTAGTTTGATATATTTCTCCTGAAAAAGATAATAGATTTTGGTTTCATTTGATTTGTTTATCATTTATGGGATATATCCTAAACATTTTGAAAGATAATTTGGGACTGGGACATGGTTCGATTAGTCTACTATAGAATATTTCTGAATGCCTGGAATTTAAGTTATGATCAGAAATGATTATTTTTAATTGATGCCTAGTTACTTGAAGATATATAAAATGTGTAGACCTCTTAAATGATGACTACTGAAATTTTAAATAATATATCTGCTTTGAAGTTTTAACATTTTTTAGTGTCATCAGTATTCTAAGCCATAAATAGGAACAGGAGGCAAACTACTATTGAATTTTGCCCAAATAGAAAACTGAATTTAATATCTGGTGTGTGTTACACAGTGACTATTTGGTTAGGAATATTAGATCTTGTTACTTATCCAGTGAAGCAAGAATTAATACCCATCATTCTCAAGCTTTCCCCCAAAATTAAAGAATAAAGAACACTTTCCAATTATTTCCATTATACCAGCATTACAGTAATACAAAAGCCAGAAAAAGAGAATAGCAAAAATGACAGACAAATATCCTTAATGAACACATGCAAAAAACCTTAATAAAATACTAGTAAATGAAATTTAATAGCACTTTAAAATGATCATATATCATGGCCAAGTGGGATTTATCTCTTGGATATAAGAATAACTCAACAGAAGAACATCAACAAAGGGTTAAAATTACATGATTAACTCAATGTAATATTATTGAACAGTAAAATGAAATGAGCTCTGAAAGACATCGAAAACCCTCAAGTACATATTACTAAGTAAAAGAAACCAATCTGAGAAAGCCACATCCTCTATGATTCCAAAAATTCAAAATTCCAGAAAAGGTAAACCTATGAAGGCAATAAATAGATCACAAGTTTTCAGAGGCGAGGGAAAGATGAATAGGCAGAGCACAGAGTACTTTTAGCACTGTAAAATATACTGTATACTATTATAATAATAGATATGTATCATCATGCATTTGTTCAAATCCACAGAATGTACAACACCAAGAGTCAACCATAAAGGATGGCCTTTGGTGATTATGATCTGTCAATGTAGATATACCCCTGCTAACAAAAATGCTATTCTTTTGAGTAATGTGGATAATGGTGGAAGCTATGCATGTGGGGGCATGGTTTACATGGCACATCTCTGCATGTTCCTTTCAATTTTGCTGTGAACCTTAACAAAATCTAAAGAAAGCCCCACATCTACAGAACAAAGGAATCAACAAGAAAAAAAGGCAACCTACAGGAAAGGTAGCAATGTTTGCAGACCACATATCTAATCATATTATTATCCAAAATATATGAGGAAATTTAACCACAAAATAGCAAAAACAAAACAATAACAACAACACAAATAACCCAATAAGAAATGGCCAAAAGTGTTGAATAGACATTTCTCCAAAGACAACATAGAAATGGCTAACGGGTATATGGAAAGATGTTAAACATTAATAATCATCAGTGCCATGCAAATGAAGACTATAATGAGATATCCTATCTCTGTTAGGGTTGCTATTATTGAAATGTGGGGTTTGGGATGCAGACTTTTCTTCCCGTGGGTTCTTGTCCTCACGAAGTTTGAAGAATAAACTTGCAGACAAAAGGGCTTCTTTAATAAAAAATATAGAAGTTTATTGGAAGCAGATACAAACTCTATCTGGGCAGGGGTGTTCCCAAAGGGGACCTCATGGGGAGGCCCCCCCCCCCCGTGATGGGAAAATCCTGCTCTCTCTCGCTAATGGGAAAATCAATCTAAAAAAAATGTGTCTCATGTCCCTTTGTCTCTAGTTTATGTATGCTGCAGTTCTTTTGTCTGAACATGACCATTTTTAATTAGCCCCTTTCCTTAATTTGGGACCCACATGCTTTCCTCATTGGTCATTGTGCTACATAGAATTAGTTTCAAAGCCCACGGGGTGCCCCCTTCTTTATTTCCCCCTTATCTTGCTAGTTAGAGTTGATTTTGACCTCCCAGCTGCTCTGGCCAGAGATATCTCTGTCCTTGGTTTATGGCTGTTTTAATTGCTCAGGCCAGAAATGTTTCCATCTGCCTGGACCACCTCTTCCTGTGGCATTTCTCTATCATCTGTATAAGTAAGATAAGCATTTTGGTGTCTTCAAGTCCCTATCTATGCATTTCTCACCCATGGACCCCCTTTATCTCTAAAATTCCATAAACCTTCCCATTTTATCTCTAAAATTATTTTCATTATCAAATAGGAAAAAAATAGCAAGTGTTGTCAAGGATGTAGAGAAATTGGGACCCATGTACACTGTCGTTAGGATGGTAAAATTGTGCAGTAGCTATATAAAATAGCATTGAGGTTTCTCTATTGAAAATGTCTACACAAAAGGGTCTTTGATATTTGATTTTGTCCAAAATATCCATGCTTAAAAAACGTCTCTGGATTCAAATAGCCCATGACATTTATTTATATTTTTGTTTAAAAGATTAACACATTGAAATGCTATCACAGTTTATGGAGCCAATGATTGTGTTGTGGCTGTATTGCCAATACAAAGCCTTCCTGCCTTGGTGGCCTAGCTGGTAATGAATGGCACATTGCCTCAGTAGATGGATCAGAGTTCAAATCTCACAGGATTGTAGGATTTATATTAACTACTAGAGGCCCAGTGCATGAAATTTGTGCACTGGAGGGTGTCCCTCAGTACAGCCTGCACCCTTTCCAATCTGGGGCCCCTAGGGGGATGTCTGATTGCTGGCTCCCAACCGCTCACTTGCCTGCCTGCCTGC